CTCCATCGATATTTCGTGTTGATGATAAAAAAATTCAAATAACAATTCAAAATTTGGTTCTTGCTTCTTTGATATTTTCATCGCTGATATCTCGCAAATGACGCAAGATATCTTGAAACTGTGTATAGACAGAGTACTCTCATTGTCTTTCGCATAACAAAAACTGTGTTACTGGTAATTACCATCAATATTTCTTAAAGTAAAAGAGGAGAAAGGCATTGCGTCATACTATATTGTGCAGATATACATACAATCAATAACGATCAATGAAATATTAGCCATTTTTCTTTTATCATGACCAGTCAGAAAATAGAAAAGGAAGACATGTGTTATTGTAAATATACAACCCTTCATAAGCTTTGCTATAGTTTAGATTTCCAATTTCATTTGTTGGTTTATTTCTTGCCATATGGTAGCAAAATAATGGTAAAAAGTGGAATGAAAAATAATATTAACTGAAAATTTTTTGTTAATTACTATTTACTAACTTTTACAAATCTTATCACAGATAAGTATAACATATATCTTTTTAAACAATTATTTTCCCGGCTATTTGCCAAAACGCTGAAACTTGGATTACAAAAAAGATAATATGCACATTATGTTAAAAAAAATCAATTATTTGAGGAAAACGGTGTATAAAAAATTTTCTTAAAATTTATGGTTAAGAGGTGGTGATCGAATCAGTCTTTGATATTACTCATATCTCTCTCAACAGTAGTTTTTAAATAAGTCCAGTTATCCGCTTTATAACATATAGCTGTGTCGTCTGCATAAGTAATAATGGTGCTGCTGCTCTGTGTTGAGAATAAACCGTTTAAGAATATTTTAAATAATATGGGGCCCAGAGCTGTACCTTGTGGAACGCCATAGTCGATTTGTTGAAAATCACTTAGTGTTTTTGATTTTTACACACTGGTATCTATCAGTAATATAGCTAGTAAATAAATCTAGGGCAGAGTTTCCTATGCCGTATTGTTCTAGTGTCCACAAGGATGGTATGATTCACAGTGTCGAAAGCTTTTGAGAGGTCTATGAACACTCCAAGTGAAGGTTTACCTTCATGAAGAGCAGTGTACACTTCCGAAGTTAATGCGAGTATTGCGTCTTGGGTGTAGATCTTCCTTCACGAAAACCATATTGTATGTGGAAGAGTATTTTATATTTTGTGATGAATTCATTTATTCTTATTTTAATAATGTTCTCAAACATTTTAGCGAAGTTTGTGATCAGAGATATGGGTCTATAATTAAGGGTTTCCGTTCGATCACCGTTTTTGAATATAGGTATTACGACTGATTTCTTGAAGGCAGATGGAAAGTAGCCGTTTTCCAGGCACGTTTTTAGTATGTATGTTAATGGTTTATATATATTGTGCGAAATGTGTTTTAAAGTTTCTGCCTATAGGTCAACAATACCTACGTTTTTATTATTTTTTAATTTAACTTATAAACATTGTTTTTTTTAATTTTATTTCCTAATTTTTTTCCGGTATTTATATAATTATCATTAAAAACGTTGGCTATTATTTTATGTTCCTCAATCTTTTGACCACTATTATTTTTTCTGTGTTCAATTTTATTTTGCTGTGTTGGTTTTTTACATAAATCTTTCACAGTTTCCCATAAGTTCTTATTGCTAGATTTATTTTTATTTATTTGATTTGTATAATAGTGCTACGTCACTGGACTGTGTAGACTGGTTAGATGAGACTGGAATTGAACGCGAACGGCCGGGAATATTCTGGAATACTCTAGACAGTGTGAATGGATGTATAAATAAGACGCACGGTGGGCCGAGAATCAATCTTAACTTGAACGTGAACGAGTAAAGAAGAAATAAGAAAGAGACTTATAAGTTGTTCAAATGTGATTATAGTTAAGACAATAATTAATCTATTGTTGTTAATTGTTAATTAGTAAATAAAGTAGTGAATAAGTGTTACCTGGACTTTCAATGTGTGGGTAGCAAACACGTAACAATAGTTTACTTTTGCTTTTTTAATTTTGTAATTAAGTTTCTGTAATTTTTGTATTCTTCTTTAAATTGTGTGTTATTAGGTTCTTTTAGTAATCTCTCAGCCATTTTGTCACGTGTATTTATTGAATTTATTACAATGAAAGGGAATTTCTCAAAATGCCTTTGACAATTTGATCCAAAGTATGGGTAGAAAACTAGAAGGTTGTATTACTGCTAGGGCAGTACATTGTATTAAAGTGTGTTTCTATCAATTTATTAGTGAAAAGTAAATGAATTTGAATTTAATAAAATTGCACATATTTTTTTAATAAACACTTATTTTCTAGACAGACAGTTAAATTTCAAATAGTAATTCACATCGTTTACCTCTTTGATCGAACTATTTTAACTTAATTAATTTTAAAAAAAGCTGGGCTGTAATTCATTCGACAAAGGTGATGCAATACTATCTTATTATATACTCATTATTTAAGCAAAGCACCTACAGTAACTCGTATGGATATATTTCCAACGTTATCTCTGTAACATAAACGAAACTTTAGGTGCCTACAAACCATGTTAAAATGTCTCAGTTGCGTTAAAACAGACAACCAAACAACATGTAATAAAAATTTTTAAAACAAATACCTAGTAATTAAGAGTGTAAGTAAATTGTAATGTAAAACAACCATAACTGTTTTTAAAATATTATATTAATTGTAGTTCTCTGATGATGGTATAATAAACCGAAACGTTAGAAAAAAATAATAAGATTAGTTATATCTGACCGAAATCCCCACAAATAAAAACTATATATTATTTGATGGGTTGCGTATTAGAAATATAGCTGTTACTATTTTCTTGTTAATTTAATGTCTAAGAGAATGCAAGTGAAGGGAATGATTACGTTTACTTTATAGAAAATAACAGTTACACACTGTGGGCATTGAAATATACTCTCTACGAACAATGCTGGACTGAAACTTTTTCTTATATTTAATAATATTCTCGTGGAAATATTTCCTACTACTGGACATTAGGTCTATTGTTCGTATATCAAAGCAGTTAACAAGGGATATTATGCTTTGACATGGGCTTTATATTATTTCATACAAGCCTATAGATGTATGTAGATGTGTGAGTTGATGAAATATGTATACTGTTTGTTCGATTCATTGGATTGCGTGTACAATGAACTCAGTCCTTCAGGGTTGACACGCTAAAGCTATAATAGCTGTCAATGTTATGTATTTGGTGTTAAATGTGTATACTGGCGCCAGGTAGCTTTATCCAAAAAAATAGACAAGAATAAAGAAAATTGAGAGGTTTGTGGTTCCTACACTGAGATACTGTTATGTCAACAATTTTTTGTAATGTTCTATTAAATGCAAAATTTTCGAAATAACCTCAGATATTTTAAAACAACATCTTTGATTTTTCTTTTTGTAAATATAATAAGAGTTCACAGGAGTGGATTGAGGAAAGAAAGAAATCCATTACAGCAACTCGTTCTGTCGTTTATCACTGCATCACACATTTTTTTTACCACAAACGTCAAAGTTATGGAATTCATTGACCAATAATGTGTTTCCTGAATCCTAGTATCGCAGGCGCCTAAAGTCAAGGTGGATAGGTACCTACCCTAATTTTCCCGCACCCACGTGATGCAGTAGTCTGATTCTTTCTAAGATGCAATTTATAAACACACTCAAAGAGGACCACAAATTTACTGTAACCTGTGAAGATTTTCAATGAGACATTTTAAATAACCGATCGGCTCTATACAATTTCGTGCTGATGTTACATGCAACTCGACGTTATGCAATGTATTGACAAACTAGATGTGGTATGTTATTCGCAGTTGCCCCACAGAATGTAGGTATCTACGTAATTCCCAGAATTGCAGTGCAATTGTAAAAGAATCTATAAATAGGTACCGTTTTTATTTAATATAGTACGTTTTCCGCTAAAACTAGTTTAAGTATTAACATTTTAATATGAAATGCAATTTCTGTTTGCCTATTTGGGAATGTTTCAGTAGATGTTTCCAATACAATATTGTGTCGAAGGAATCATTTCCCGAACATAGGAAACACTGTAATATATAATGTAATATAAACATAGTATAATATAAACCACGGAAATTATAAATCATATGTATTTTTTCATTGCTGAGTTATAACGGGTAATTGAAAAATTTTCTTTCTCCATGTTTTTGTCGGTGTATTATTTTTTTTCTTTAATAAATCATGTCGCGACTCAAATATTAATAAATGAATAAGCCCAGTATTAAGTCAATACACACGTCAATGCTGTTTACGCCGACTCTTCAAAAGCCTTTGATAAGTTGGACAATAACATTTTACCAACGAAATTCGCAAAATTTAATTTTTCGGTAAATTTACAACAATTTTTCAGATTCAATCTCAACAATTGAGACTGTTTGTGGAATGTTATAGTCATCAATCAGCTGAATTCACAACAGCATCAGTAGTGTCTCAAGGCACTGTATTAGGTCCGCCAGTTTTCAATCTGTTCATTAATGATATTGTTGTTGATATTGACGTGCCCTGCCTTGTATACACATATGACCTAAAATTATACAAAAAAGTTAACACCCTACAGCTTATTTGAAACTTATTTGCAACATAAGAAACATCGGCTTCTTTGATTCCTTTACCGCCATCAAGAAAACCGACGTTTTTTATGTTACATATAAGTCTGAAATAAGCTACAAGTGGTAGCTTAATTCTGCAACCGGCGCTTAGTAAGATACGCACATGGTGTGTTGCCAACAACTTACCGTTAAATGTTAGCAAATGTAGTTGTGTGCCGTATTCTAGAAAATAAATAAATAATAAATGTTTTCTTAATTGCCTCTCAAGTCACCTAAGTAACTCCCAGAATATTCTAGGCTTTTGTGTTGAGTAAAGAGAGACAAGGCCCTAGAGTTTATTGTGGAGTCCGCTCCACATCTAGTGCAACGACAGTTCTCTCTCTCTGATCTTAATCCGAAACAAATTACAAATAAAATATCTAACTAGCGCCGGGATGGATTCGAACCATCGATATTTGATACCCAGTAAATCGCTATAAGCGCTATACCCACTAAGCTACCATGCCCTTGTTTTTAATCATTCCTTAGATAACACTGACGTAGTTTTCCACGAAACACCAAAACATGATACACTGCTCGACGCGCGTTTCGCCAACCTAGTTGGCATCATCTGGAGATGATTAAAATTAAATTTATGCTAGCAATCGCAGCTATATCTTTAATCAAAGCCTTTTCTTTTTCAAACCTCTCCTTATTGAGGGGGAAGCTTGATAGACGATGGACTAAAAAATTAAAACTCGCCATTATGTGTTGAGCACAATGGTGAGAGTCCTTAGGGATATATCTTAGAGTACTAGTATCTTTTCTGTATATGTCAAATTCTAACTTGTTTTCACTGTTTCTAATTATTAATACATCTAAAAATGGTAGTTGTCCATAGTTTTCAGTTTCATATGTGAATTTAACTGACGTGAAGCGACTGTTAAATTTAGATACAAAGTTATCAATATCAGCGATTTTTGTATCGAACAATGCAAAAATATCATCCACATACCTAAGCCAAATCCTGGGGATATACACGAATTCTTCTTTTGCTTCCGTCTCGAATCTGTTCATGAAGAGACTGAATGAATGGTGACAAAGAGTTATCCATTACTGTTCCTTCATGTTGTTCGAAGAAATTATCGTTGAATCGGAAACAATTTTGTTTCATGCAAAGTTTAGTGAGTATAAGATATTCTTTTAGTACATCTTGACTGAGATTGATTAATTCGAGTATATCCTTAAGGTAGTCCACGGTCTGTGGTATCGGAACACTTGGAAACAATGAACAAACGTCAGAGAAGATCAAAATTTCACCTTTTTGCAACTGAATATTTTTCACCTTATTAATGAAATCGTTGGAATTAATCACAGAGAAACTAGGTAGCGCAATAGGTAAATTTTTGAACTCTTATGTTAACCATTTTGATAGGTGGTAAGTCGGCGATCCGATTGCTGAAATAATAGGATGTACCGACTTGCCTGGTTTATGTATCTTAGGCAAGCAATACAATCTAGGTACACTTGGGTTAGATACATGTAACCTCCTATTTATAGCTGGAGTAATAAGGTTGTTGCAGGATTTAAGTACATTTCTTACTTCAGTAACCATTCTTAGTAATGGATTTCTAGAAAGTTTTTTATAAGGACCATTACTAATCAGATTGTCTACCCTTTCATAATAGTCCTCTTTATCTAAAATAACAACTTTATTGCCCTTATCAGTTTTTAAAGTGGGTACGTCCAACTGTTTTAGCAATCGGATAGCCGACTTACCACATATCAAAATGGTTAACAGAAGAGTTCGAAAATTTACCTATTCCACCACCTAGTTTCTTTGTGATTAATTCCAACGATTTCATTAATAAGGTGAAAAGTATTCAGTTGCAAGAAGGTGAAATTTTGATCTCTTTTGACGTTTGTTCATTGTTTCCAAGTGTTCCGATACCACAGACCTTGGACTACCTTAGGATCTATTCAAATAAAACAATCTCAGTCAAGATGTAGTAAAAGAATATCTTAAACTCACTAAACTTTGCATGAAACAAAATTGTTTCCGATTTAACGATAATTTCTTCGAACAATATGAAGGAACAGCAATGGGTAACACTTTGTCACCATTCATTGCCAGTCTCTTCATGAACAGATTCGAGACGGAAGCAAAAGAAGAATTCGGGTATTTGCCCAGGGTTTGGCTTAGGTATGTGGATGATATTTTTGCAGTGTTCCATACAAAAGTCGCTAATAATAGTTGCTAATATTGCCTTACAGGAAATAGATCGGCATTAATTTCATTAGGTGTTAACCATTTAATATCGGCGCATTTCTTGTCACCTTCTTGTGTGGTCTTACAGATCACAGGGGGTTATATTCTAATAGTCCTAAAATGTCAAAAAAAGACAGTTAGACAGTCGTAAATAAAAAAGTGAGAAATTTTTTACCTGTCGTCTGTCCTCTGTTTTCAATTTCTTCTTTAAAGTGATTTGTTACGCAATTTGCGGCTTCTCCGCCTCTCCAAGCGAGCTCAACTGCGATAATATAGAAAAAATTGTTTGCAGTCCTTCAGGAGTGTTTTCATTCCAAAGCATTATCATTTTTTTATGTTTTTCTGAATCTAACGCAACTGAAGAGGCTTTTCTTTTCGTGACATTTTTCTGTAAATATCTTCTTTTAGCATTACGAGCATCCCTAGCGCACTTAAATTGAATATCCTTAAATGGATCGAAAATGACGTATTTTAAGAAATACATTTCCTGAAGCATTTTTGCAGTTATGTTCCGCATGGTTTTTATCACATTTTCCTTATAATCTTTACCATCTCTCCGTCTCATATTGAAAGCTTTAGGTACCAACGCAATGTAATCTATGGTTGTAGTGGCTTCAAATTGGTATCCTGTCTCATTACCAAAATCAGTAAATTAGCCCCATATCAATTTGTGCGCTTTTGTTGAGTTAATAGGTACGCTTCCTAGGATTTCTTTGTCAACTTTGAAAAGTGAAACATTTCCGGAACGAGTGTTTTCTTTATTTACTTCCATTTGACGGTGTAGGTGAGTGTAGATGACACTAACAATTCAAACTATCAGAATTGTTGAGTCGATGAGTATCGCATAGCAACGACAGACCAAAGCTTCCTTTACATGTTAAAAATAAATGAACAGCTAGGTGAATAATAACCGATTAGTTTTGCAAAATAATTACTTATTTAAACAAGTCACGTGGTACAAATTTCATGTTCCTTATTGGTTAGATTTATGATAAGGAAAACAATTACTTACATATATACATAATATTTCAAATGATTGTTCCAAAATATTGGGTTTCATAATAAGAAGTTTTCATGATTTTAACAACGACACAATTAAACTGCTCTATGAATGTTGTATCACATTTAGACTTAAAATTCATCTGCTATTTGGTTTCCATGTTATAATACGTAGAGAATTTAAAGGCGTTTCCTTAAATATCTATGTTTTAAAAAGGATGGAGTCTATCCACCTCTAGGTTACACACATGTCAATCTTCTTAACTTCTCTTGAAGCTCGCAGAAATATATCTGAACTTGTATTCCTTTATAAATTAATTTATGGTCTAACTGATTGCAGTGAAATTTTACATATTGGGCGCAATTTTTTTCATGTTGCCAGATCGACATCTAGACAAAACGTTATATTTTATCCGTTCATGCCTATAACAAATGCTCAGGATTAGTCGCCTCTATTTAGAATATACAATAGTTGTAATAGTTTTAACAGCCTGATTGATATCTTTAACTGCAGTATAGCTTCGATAAAAAAATTAAATTTATAAGTTCTATAATTGCAGTTTTATAATTTAAATTATATTTTATTTTTATTCCTGCATTTTTATATCATGCTAATTGTACATTTATCTTCATGTTAAATGTATTTTGTAAATTCTTACCTCGTAAATGGCATTTGTATCTATTGGGTGGTGTATAGTAATAAATAAATACATAAAAAATTAGCTCTTCCTAGCACATAGAATGTTATCACTTAATAGTTTATAAATCATATGAAATTTGTAATGAGAAGTAAACTTGCACGCATGGGAGAAAGTCCGATTTAACTTAATATTATACAAAGCAAATTCGTGAAACTTTTCCAATCGATCTTAATTTAATTGATAGGTTTATAAGTCGCTATCAATTATTATATTTGAACACAATATGGATTGGGGTTAAACCCAGACGCGCACATCAATCTGCCTCTGGAATTTGGAACTCGAATCTGGCTTATATAAGAGGTCCTAGAAAGTAATTTTCGTAAAAGGTTCGCACTCGTATCTGAACTTGCTAGTTATAGGGCGACAGGCTGTCAGATGGATTTTTGCCTGTCACTAGCGGAATGTCGATAAAGAATAAACCTAGAGAACAGCATTATCTGTTTTCTGCAAAGTGAACACTAAGTGTCGACCATTTTCAGTCGACGCTTCTTTATTTTTACTCATTTCACTTCGTTTGCTGTATATTGTAGATCCGAAGTAGTTGATCCTTAATTGGTTTATGTCCTATTTTGTTTTTATTTCGCTTCCTTTATTTAATTCCCTATCTAAAGTGCGTCTCATTTAGAGCGTGAACCGCTGAAAAAGCACAGAATATTTCATCTTAAGATATTTTTACTTTTTTTATTGTATAAAATGAAAAGGAAACAATTTTTACAACATATTTTTCTTTGTATCTACAGATACAAGTGATATATACTGTGTTACTGTAAACATTTAACTTTTTGAATCGGACTGCTAACCAGATTTACTTTACATTTAGCAAGGCATAATTAAAAGCCAATTTAAATTTATTTTTTTAATACCCATAATACTTTTTTTGTGATCTTTTATCTCTTTACTTTCTTCTGTACACATAATTCAGAGGGCGTTGCTAAAGAAACTACTTTGGAAAAAAACGCCCAAAAAGTGGATTATCTTAGTCTTCTAACTTGAATTGGTACTACCACACGATTGAAATGTCCTGATTCCAGATATCTAGTAATTTTAACGTTGTTGAATTGGTGGTTAGAACGTCAGTGATATTATTTTTTGTTAACCTCTTTGGTCTTAAATAGCGAGCTTTATTTGCTGTCAAGAAATTGTTAAGAGTATCTTTTATTGCCGAAGTATAGACTTTTTGTTAAAGCACATTTGGTTTTTGGCTGCTTTGAAAATACTTTCGGATAAAATTGTCTATTACTTCATTTGTTAATTAATACAGAAATATTGATTGCTTTCGATTTGTAAATCGGATTTTTTATTGGTAAGCTAAACTTCCAGATTTGCTGGGTAAGTTGAAATATATAATTTCTTCTATTAACGACCACGTGTTTGAACGAATACTTTAAAAAATTTTTATTCATAATTTATTTTAGACGTTCTTGACACTGTGGGTTTTTGACACCGTACGTTTTGGTACTTCCGTTTTGATACCTGCAGTTTTTAGTAAAGTTTTTTCGTATGGTATAAAAGCTCATACCTTTTTCTTTAATGAAATTTGGCTACTGGATACTGGATTTTTGAAATTTAGCGAGTTAATGGTAATTGATTTTTTATTTATTATGTTGTAAGATTTTTTTTGTAGTTTTATTTTTTTGACTAACTAATATTTTATAAATAAATTTTATTTATATTTTAATTTTCTTGGCTTCTTATTTATTTTACATACAGCAAGGATCTGTAAGACCTTGATTTAATTATTCTTAGTGAGGAAAACGGAGGCAAAGGAATTAAAACGTTTAAATGAATCGCATTTCAAAAAACCCTATATTTCTAACATGAACAAGAGAACAGAAATGTGATAGTTAACCCTTAATGTCGATTTATTGCACGGTGGTAAATTGAAACAATTTGATTCACTGTTGAGGAGGTTTTTACCTTGAGAGCCGGTACTTGCAAGATGGGTCATCCCAAAGGTACCTCAAGATATATTGTGTGGAAGAGGACAACAATTTCTGATTTAGAAAAATCCCAGCGTCTCGACCTGGGATCGAACCCGGGACTCTAGGGTGAGAGGCAAGTGTAATTACCGTTCAACCATGAAACCACTAGTCATCATCTCATTAATTAAGATAGACAGCATTCATATATTTAATCGCATTGTCAGATTTTTCTGATACTGATTAGTGCCACCGAATATGCGTGATTTGAGCCCCGGAGATTATTTTGTATGGTACTATTTAGAACACCTAGTTTACAAACAAAAATTATTAGGTACCTTACAGCTTAACACAAAAAATTATTAACTGATGGAAAGTTGTGATTGTGAAAACTGGTTCAATGTTGATTTACGAATATCTGTCACTACATTACAATTGATATATTTATTTTAACGTTGTTAGTGTTACATCATTTCTCAGTTTTTGAAGACACAGCAAGATTATCATCGACATTACCGACTGTTATTTTTCAGTCGTTTACAAGGAAAGCACTTTAGTGATTAATTTATAACAAAAATAATAACGGCCCTAGGTTAGATCCTTGGGGTATCTCGAAAGTGACCGATTACAGACCGATCTATAGCTCTTTTAAAATACGTATTGAGTTACTTATTTAAAAGAGAACAAAAATGTAGTGAAGCAGTAAAGCCAGAGTTTTGAGGTGTTAAAAGATGCTTTATGATTTTTGGTATTAATAAAATACGACGCAGTAGTAAAGGGGCGGCGACCGAGCTTTTTAAAATTTTGCACAGATTTTTTGTCTGAAAATTTGTCAGGAAAGTTTTGTAATTAAAGTTATTTGTTTCTTGTTATTTAAATAAGAGAAGTTAACAGGTCTCAAAATTGTAATTAATAAATTTAGTACTGGAAGTCAAACATAATGTGGAAGAGTAGTCAGGTACACACACTGTTTAAGAGACGAATCTCCAGGGGGATGAGTCTATAATCTGGGCTTTGAGACATGGTGTACATATTATGAATTGAGACAACAACATTCCGTTGAGAAATTCTACAAGGGTTCTCGTTTACAAAACATGTTTATAGCTTTCATAAGGAAATGGGGGAACTTTGTTATATTCTGCACTTAACAAGTTATATTAGAATAGCAAGAGGAAGCAATAAAAAACACAGCGAGAGTTTTACTTGCTACTGCGGTAATAATATAAGATTGCGCTAACGTAATTCATATTACTTACACCTGCAAAATAAATTAGAAACGTTAAAAGGACATATGAATTTCGGGGTTCAGTTCTCGAGTAATTATACACTCAAATTTATTGTTTATTGGAAAGCGCTGGGTCGTAAACAGTGATGATACAGAGAAATAGTAATGTTCGTAACTTTATAAGTATCGGTTTTCACAGCAAATATAAATATGATGGAACATTTATTTATTTTTGCTTGTTAGTATACAAAGCTATCTTTTTGTTTCGTCTAGAAATATATTTTTATTTTTTATTATATAAGTAGTTCCACAGGGTACTGTACTAGGCTCATTGCTAGTTTTGATAGTAACGATATACTAAATGATATTGGAAACACCTTTTTAACATCACTTACTAATGACACGTGATCCGTTATCTCTGTAACTAGCAATTAAACTCTTAACAAAAACAGAACCAATTGTGTGTGGTGCCAAGAGAATGACCTAGTTCTTAACGCTAAAACCAAATCTTTCATTAACTTTCCCTACTGGAGTAAGCACAAAAGTAAGTTTACTAGTTAGAGGAGTATCTCAGATCTAAATATAAACTTAAGTAGCTTTACTGACTTACTGATACATCAATGCAGAGCACAGTTCGGAAGAGTTAGAACTTAATTTTAAAGGGGTGTACCTTAAGTACCAATTTCGCCCATTAATAAGGATTTTTTTTTCGAAAGCTCCCTCCAAATGGGTGAATTTGGGTGTTAACTGTTTTTCCCAAATTCTTCCAGCTACAACATTGAAATTTTATAGAGATATAGAATACAACTCTAAGGGGCGTAAAACGGGGGGGTTAAAGTTTAATAATGTGTGTCCTAAACACTTAAGAGTCTTATATACCCTATTAAATCATAATTCTCGAATATCTCGTTTAAAACTTATCCGATTTGAGTGCGATTTTTACAAGATTTTTCAAAAATATGTATAAAATGTCGGAATGTAATTTTTTTTTTTTAGAGTCGTCAAAAAATTTTCGCATGCATTTTAAATATTTTGTATCCAAATTTTTTAACATTCCGACATTAGTCACTGTTTGTAACGTTTATATTCATGTGACCCAACTCTTGGATTAGTTGAAAATAGATTTATTAGAAAACTAAAAACTGCATATCTATATTCCGATAATAGCTGCCATCTCGCATGATATTTCGGAAACATGGATGCACTTGCATACACTGGACTCGTTTGCGGGAGGGGGAATTGGGCACTTAGGAACCACGTTGCGATTTGCGTAAACAACAGTGGCGTGTGTATTCTAGAGTTATCTTAAATTTACTTATTTGTTATAAAGTAGGTACACTTGATTTCAATAAAAACTGGTACACTTTCTTTTAGCTATGTAAATCATTCGTTATTTGATTGATATTAATAATCTTACAAATGTCACTTTGACGTTAATCAGTGGCGTCATTATTAAAAATGGTCGACATCTAACAGATATTCAAACATTTCGAATTGTTTCTAATTGAAGATGGTTGGTCCATAAGAAGACTTGCTGCTGAATACAATGTGAGTAAAACCACGATAATGAGTGTTAAAAAACAATGGGAAACCAACCAAACGGTATCCCGTAAAGTTGGTTTCGATAGGCCCAGAAAAAGCAATAATCAAGAAGATGAAAATCTTATAAATCACCTAATAGAAAACCCTTTTCAGACTGCAGTAAATGCAATTTCAGAGACAAATTTCCCTGCTTCGGTATCTACTGTTTGCAGAAGAATAAAACTACAAAGCAACTTGAAGAGTTGTTCAGCGGCTAAAAAATACAAACTTTCAGAAGAAAAGAAGCAGGGTAGGATTATTTTGCACTCAACTATATAATCAATGATGAAAACTTCTGGGGACAAGGTGTTTTTTCTGATGAAAAGGTTTTTAAATTCTGTAACGATAGACATGTTCGCATATATAGGCCTCCTTCCACTAGATACGACGAAAAATATACTTTCGATCCACAAATATTAGGAAGGTTTTCAGTCAATGCCTGGGCTTGGATGAGCCTAAATGGGTTAGGTGTGTGTTGGAACAGTGGTGGTCATCTCAGTTCCATTAAATATATTGAAATATTAGACAATATTATGTTGCTGTCAGTAATAGAGGTGTTTCCGGAAAATAATTTTATTTTCCAACAAGACAACTGCTCCATACATACGGCCCATCGTGTCAGGCAATGGTTTCTTAATAAAAACATAGAGTTGTTACCGTGGCCATCTAAAAGTCCGGATTTAAATCTAATTGAAAATGTATGGGGACTAATGGTGAAACATATAAGAAAATTAAATAACCATCCAAATAATGCCCAAGAATTGGAAGGGATAATTGAAGACGCTTGGGAGAACTTGTCGCAAGAAGTTGACCTTGCAAGAAATCTGATTTTGTCCATGCCTGCAAGACTTCAGGCAGTTTTAGACGCTAATGGAGCAATGACAAAATATTAGTTAATTCTGTATTACGTAATTGAAGTTCATTTATTTTATTTCTTTATTGTATTTTTATGTTCAGTTTGCATTGTTTACATTTTTTTTAATCTCAAGTGGTATTTTTTGTGTTCTTATTTTAAAAATAGAATTATCATTATTCAGTTAGTATTTTAATTACAACCATCAGTAGAATTATCCGTAACAAATATTATTATATCCGTAACATATATTATTTGAAAATGTTTTCAAAAAGTTATTTTCTAATCGAACATTAGCCCAAAAGAGAAAATATAAAAAGTAAGTACTAGTGAAAATTGAATTTTTTCGTAAATTAATAAAAGTATAATTTTCTTTTATTTCCGGTAATTTCTGTAGAGAGACTAATGAAAGTTTTCCCATTTTGCCGTCTCTAAATATTGATATGGAATGAAGGAATGAAAGGTGAATATGATAATTTTTATTTTTGATTTATTTTAAGCGCAGTAACCTCATGTACAGGGTGATCATTTTAAGTGCACCTTACTCGATTTTTCTGCTGTATTTATAACCTAGGAAACAACTTTAAAAATTATACTTATGTGCTTTTACTAAGGAATCCTAAAATTAAAAGCAATTGAATGTCAAATAAAAAGAAAACGCTGAAAAACTGAAAAATAAAAAAATTACACCCCGCATTAATATGCGGAAATGGACATATGACATTCCGAATACTGATTAAATATGCGCGTCACATACATATCTTTTACTTTCGGTTTGACCGGAAATTGCCTTAATTTTTTTTTATTCTAAATGATATATCCTGTATATTCGCTCAATTTAAAAAATTTCTTTCTGAATTCAGCAATATATGTAACATCATCATAATCTTTCATATTTCATAAAGATATTGGAGTTTAAATTTAAAATAACACAAATATATTTTTCATATTATTTCATCGCCTTTTCCATTATGAGTTGAATGATATGACACACATTGATAGTTCCATTTTATAGGAAAATTTTTTAAAATAATACTATGCATTAATAAGAAACGGTAAAACGGAAATTTTTTTGTAGATTAACGATTTAATTGTTTTGTTGTTTAGTTCTTTAGCTATTTTTAAACAAAGTAAATAAAATAATTTCGGTTTTTTTTATTGTTTTTACATATTAATTGCAGGACAAGGACGCATGAAGGGTAAGGTTAGCTACTGCTTAGCTTATAAGCTTGACGAAATACAACTTTTTCGTTGGTTTATGTCGTACGAAACCTCTAGTACTCCGCCTCTGATAATTCAACATCTCCCAATCTGAAATGTTCCACTATGCCGTTCTGTAACTAGAACATCGGCCACCTTCGACATTCGCCGCGATAATTTCGGTTTGGCTGTGTATATGCACCGTGGCCTGCGCGGGGTGTGGTAAAATCGAGACTATATTTCACTTGCATCTGATATAGACTCTTAAACAAGAATAACGAAGCTGAAAACTGGTCTAGCTGGAGCCA